ACCCTTCGGTGCGTGGGGCAATGCTCTGACCACTGAGAACTCTGGCCAGGGCTATGTTATCTTGTTTGATCTATTCAACGACCCTATGATATAACTGCTATACGATCCTCATGTTTCAGATGGGCAACTGAGCCTAGTAAGTAGCGGGGCTCGATTTGAACTTAAGTCTCTGGCATCAGGACCCAGGTTCTTTATGTTGGACTACACACGAGGCTCATTAAGTGAATGACAAGGAGTTTGGAGAATATGTAGGGGAAAGTCACAGGAGCTAAGTGTGGAAGAGGATGGGGAGCTGAGGAATGAAAGGTTTGAATGCTGAGTTAAGCAGCTTGGACATTATTTAACACACAGGCAATGGGGAGGTAATGAGGGTTTCCGAAGTGTGCCTTAAAAAGATGTGAGTGCTTTGCCCTGGCTGCTGTGTTCAGTGGTTAGAGCGCCAGCTGTGCATGGAAGGGTCATGGGTTCTATTCCCAGGTAAGGGCATGTACCTGGGTTGCAGGTTTGATCCCCGGCCCTGGTTGGGGCTCATGTGGGAGGCAACCAATTGATGTGTCTCTCTTACATTAATATTTCTCTCTCTCTTTTCTTTCCACTCTCTCTAAGAATCGGTGAAAAAAATATCTTCGGGTGAGAATTAACAAAAAAGGGAGAGAGAGAGAGAGAGAGGTGAATGGTTTGCAAAAGGCAAGAAATAGGAAGAACAGCAGTTATGAAGTCCTTGGCTGAAAGCCAAGTGAGATTTGAGAAGCAGGAAAGAAGGGACAGATGTGAGACGTTTCAAAATGGACTGAAGGAATTTTGGCAAATGATGGTTGTGGACAGTGACACAGAAACAGATGAGGCCTGTGTCTGGAGATTGCGTCTGAATAATTTTTGAACTGGGAGGCCCCACATTTTCATGTTGTGCTGTGCCCTGCAGATTATGTAGACAGTGACAGGTGGTGCCCGTGATAGGCTCCTGGGCCCTGAAGAGGAGGGGTTGGCAGGGAAAGGCTGGCTCAGATGTTAGATATGTGACTGTTAAATGCCTGCAGAACATCAGAGGTTGATGTCAAACAGGTAACTGGAAATGTGAACCTGGAGCTTCCGAGTGAAGCTGAGGCCAGAGGTAGAGCTTTGGGAAGAGTGTGTGTCTCTAAAAGGAACAAGATGTCATAGTACAGCTGTTCTCAACCTGTGGGTCGCAACCCCTTTGGCGGTCCAACGACCCTTTCACAGGGGTCGCCTAAGACCATCCTGCATATCAGATATTTACATTACAATTCATAACAGTAGCAACATTACAGTTATGAAGTAGCAATGAAAATAATTTTATGGTTGGGTCACAACATGAGGAACTGTACTTAAAGGGCCAGAAGGTTGAGAACCACTGTCATAGTAGAACACAGAAATTCTGTCTCAAGCAGACTTGGTGGCTGCTTCTGGTAGTTTAGTTAGTTTCCACTGAAATAATCTTATTTGTAAGTAACAAAACTTCATTCCTTAAGAAGTCTTTCCAACATTTAGATTTTTCTAATTCAGATTTACAGTTTTCCAAAGGAAGTATTGTATTTTTACTATCATGGTCGTAAGTATTTCCAACACTTAGTACTAAAACTTAGTCATTTTTCCCCCTTTAATTTAATGGGACCTCTGAGACCATTGGCATTTATGGTTTCTTTCATTCATGATGTAATTAAGCCAGTCTGTAAGTCTTTTTTTTTTTAAAGAGAGACTATAATTTTATTTTTTATACTTTTATTGATTTCAGAGCAGAAAGAAGAGGGAGAGAGAGATAGAAACATCAATGATGAGAGAGAATCATTGATTGGCTGCCTCACGCATGCCCCACATTGGTGACTGAGTCTATAACCCAGGCATGTGCCCTGACTGGGAATCATAGGTCGACGCTCACTCACTGAGCCATGCCAGTCTGGCTGGTCTGTAAGTCTTATTTTTATGAAGTTCTAGGCCAAGAGATTGTGAGAATAGCTTAGAATAGTTTCAATTAATTTATGTACTTCTAATTTAAATGTATTGACAGTGGAAAACTCATTCAACAGGCAGATGATGTTATCTTGTAGATCAGACTTCACAGCATTTAGTAACTGAGTCGGCTACTTCATTCACAATTCATAATGAAAACAGCTAATGTTTAAGTGTAGGCTCACTTAAAAAATTGTCTAGAAAGAACAAACTAAAAAAATTGTCTAGGAAAACTATTAGAAAACTAAAATAAATGAAATTAAGTTCTTTTTTGACCAAGATGGAATGTTGTACTCTTTGTTAAGAAGCATGACTTGCTGTTGCACACTCACACTAGACATCTGAGGTTTGACAGGTGGCGGAGGAAGTGCTGTCTGTTTTTTTTTGTGGTGCTGGCTGGCTGGAAGTGGAGTCAGTTCTAATTCAGATAATAACTAGTTACCTGGCTACACACAGTTGTATTTTGCTTTAGTTTCCTGTCACGGTGTTATTGGTGAGACTCAAGATAATGGAATGTTTAAGTGCTTTGGATGTACAAAGCACACAGATATGTCAGACACTGCTGTTCCTGAGCAGGTTGGCCCCGTGTCTCTATGTGGGTGTGTGTGTTGACTCACGTGCCATGCTGTGAACTCTCAGCACTCAGGTCCTGCATTGCTCTCTGGTGATTGAAGCCCAGCTGAAGGGGCTGGAAGTGCAGTGACCCTGGAGGAAGAACCAGTAAAAGCAGGGGGTGGATGAAGAGGGAATTGATAGTTGTGCAAGAAGAGGGTGTCTGCCTTATGTTGTAAGCCAAGACACCCTTACCCTTCCAGTAACTGTTTGGTCTTTCAGTCTCATTTGGCTTCATTTACAAGGTCTGTATTAAAGCAGATGTCAGGGTTTAAGGCGGTATTTTGTCCATGCTGTCTGCTGTTGTGCTGGTTTGCTGACAAGTACATTTGATATCTAATAATTAGGAGGAGAAGAGAAAAAGGGAAGTTTAACTAAACCATTTTTTCCCCCTCAGACTTTGAGTAATAGAAGCCATATAGTCTTTTAAATTCCATGCCAACACACCCAGCAGAAAGAGACTTGCTAATACCAAAGGACTGGAATTACAGAAGAGCTATGCATGTTTTTTGGTATTCACTTCAAAACACACTGTCTCCTGTAACTTAGAGTTCATTTGTTATGTGTATGCTATGATAATGAGGTTTGTCTATGTAGTAGTTGTTTTTTGTAACTTTGATTAGGAAACAAATATTAATCCACTTAAATTAAAAGGCATTTATTTTTTTTTTGAAAGAAGATTGGGTAAAAGTAATGCTTAATCCAATTAATCTGTCTTCCTCTAATTCATCATGATGACTTTGGTGTCTGGTGGCAACTGAGAACGGGTTATGGAAAAATATCAAGGCAATGTAATCCCTATTATTTATGGTTACTTAAGAGGATAAATTAACCATTGGTCAGTAATCTTTGGATAATTATTCTATTTAGTTGGAAATACCTTGAGTTTTTTGGAAAGCAAGTCAGTTAGAACTGTCAAACTAGATTAGCTTTTCTAAGTCTAATAATAAGTGAATGGAAACTAGTTGCCTTCAGCTTTTTCTCTCTGTATTGTAGTATGATCATTCTTTAACTCTGGAAACTATACGGAACAACAGGGAAAATATATTAATACACTATCTTGTGGTTTTCAGGTAGGCTGCCCTAACACGTAAAGACTTGTGACCTGTGTATGTATTTTGGTTACTAAAATTAGGCAAGTTAATAACATTATAAAATTTGTTTGAATATAGATTGTTTAGGAAATGAGTCTTTTGGTAACAGCAATTCCATTTATTTATGCATTAGATAAGTATTTTGAAGCAGTCAACATTGTTGAAGTACTGTATTTATTAGGTGCTAAGTGTGGGAATGGGAATAAATAAAAAGATATTTCAATCCCAAAGGAATAAAAGTTCTTGCTGTGTTTTCCTCATGGTTATAGTGTCTCAAAGGCAGGCCAGTGTTCATCTTTTGGAGCTTGAGGTCTTCATTTAGGAGGTTCCCAAAGCATCTTTGTATTTGAGAGCAAATGAGATTGCTATGCAGCTAGAATTAGATAAATAAATACAATTTATCACAATCAAAGTATTGTCATTTTGGTAATAACAGAATTCATATGCTTACATAGTAGGAAATAAAACAGAATCCTGCTATGTATTGTTTCCAATCAGTTGAGAAGGATTTGTGTCATTATGAGAAACAATACTATATGTGGGATTGAATTACCATAGAACTAAAATATAAATTAGGACATTTAGATAACAAATGCAGATTTAGAAATCTTAACAAGGACCCATTTAAAAAGAACCACTTTAATTTTTAAAAGTAACTTTATTTAGGGATAACTATATACAATAAAATTGGTGCCAGTTTTAAGTCTACAATTTGATGAGTTCTGACAAATGTATACAGTCATGTAACCAGCACCATGATGATATAAAGCCTTCCCATCACCCCAATATGTTCCTTTGTCGCTCTTTGCAGTCAGTTTTCTGCTATACCTCAGCCGCTGGCAACCATTGGCCTGCTTTCTGTCACTATAGTTTTACTTTTTCTAAAATTTTCTGTAAATGGAATAAAATAATACAGTATGTTTTCTTTTATGTCTAGCTTTTACTCAGAATGATGCTTTTGAGATTCACCCATGTTTTTGCATGTCTTGGTAATTTATTCATTGTTACTGTTGAGTAGTATTCTGTTGTATGTCTACCACAATTTTTATCAATCCTTATGTTGATGAACATTTGGCTTGTTTTCGGTTTTTGCTTTTTATAAATAGTGCTGCTAGGAACATTGTGTGCAAGTCTTTGTGTGGACATATATTTTCACTTCTTTCATGTTATTTAAATTTTATTCTATATGCTTTTCTATATTTTTAAGTTTCACAAGAGGATAATACTATCCTATATAATAAAAGGCTAATATGCAAATTGTCCCCGTGGGCAGTCGTTCAACCGCTTGCTATGATGTGCGCTGACCACCAGGGGGCAGCACAGAACATGACGCGTTGCTGGCAGCTGGTGGCAGTGGAGGCACTGCTGGCCCCAATGGGCCCCGACAAGAGCTGGACCTCAGTGGGATGGTGGAGCAGGTGAGCGGGTGGTACCAGGTCAAGGCGGGTGTGAGCAGGGGCCAGGCGCTGAGGGAGCTGGGTGGGGGGGCCCAGCCCTGATTCATCGCCCCACAGGCAAGATGGTGAAGCAGGTGAGGGGGCAGCGCCAGGCCAAGGCGGGATGCCAGATGAGGCTGCGGGGCTACAAGGCTGAGTGCGCTAGCTGGGGCTGCGAGGCTGGGTGCAAGAGCTGGGGCCCGATCTCCGCAGGCCACCCTGAGGGACCCCCAACCTGTGCACAAATTTGTGCACAGGGCCTCTGGTATATATATATTTAGTTAAAAGGAATTGAGACTACATGAGGAGGTGAAATAGTGAGAGGACTCTGGAAGGACAAGTTTTTCACTTGGGTGATTGGTGGCACTGCCAGTCAACAGTCAAACATGGCTGAGATTTCCTATTTTTATAAATGACTGAAGAGGGCCCATTGAAACCAGTCAGTGGGAACTCACTGAAGACTAGCAGTGTACACTATTTGGCCTCGGCGTGCACGGTGTGGGGCCTCATTATGGTCCATGGAACAGTGAATGGGAGGTAGAGATGTGGGTACCGGCTAAGGCAGGGGTGGGCAAACTTTTTGACTCGAGGGCCACAATGGGTTCTTAAACTGGACCGGAGGGCCGGAACAAAAGCATGGATGGAGTGTTTGTGTGAACTAATATAAATTCAAAGTAAACATCATTACATAAAAGGGTACGGTCTTTTTTTTTTTTAGTTTTATTCATTTCAAACGGGCCGGATCCGGCCCGCGGGCCGTAGTTTGCCCACGGCTGGTAAGGAGTGAGGAAGTGCCGTTAAGGGGAGAAATAAGGTGGAAGTTAGAGGAAAACTGGGTCAAGAGAGGGTAATAATTTAATTTGTTAAAGACAGGAGTAGTTTCAGGTGAAGGAGCCTGTGGAGAGGGAGCAGGTCAAGTTACCAAGTGGCTAATTGATGGAGTAAGGTTCAGGAGCAGATCTGGGACAAGGAAACCCCGAGCACAGCAGGTGGAGGTGGGTTTGCCAGAGGTGCCACCTGTTTAGGGCCTGGAGAGAAGACAGTAAGGACCAGAGCAAGTGGAGGTAGGTTGGAGAGGATCAGGAGGCGGCCTTTGTTTTCTCTGTGTTAAGTGTGGCCTGTGGGGTTGAGTAGCAGATTTGAAGAGAGTGGCAAAGGTTGGGGAGCTGATTAGTGATAAGGAAAAGGGTCGATAGAACTCAAACAAGATTGGAAACCATGAATTTGTAATGAAACCAGTTTCTAAGATTGTGGCTTTTCCCCCCTCAACTGTTTTGAGCCCAATATGTGAGCAGGGAAAGTGAACTGAACAGTTGATATGAGGCTAGAGGAGAATCGAAGCAAAGCCATTTCGTGTTTCTGTCAGTTTCCCACTGGCTTCCTCCTCTCTCCACCTCAGAATACACCATTCTGAGACTTAGAAGTACTTATATGTTTTAAGTCTTTGCTGAAGTTGATGAAACATTTAACAACCGAATGCAATTTTTTGGTGCTATTTTAAATATTGTGGTAAAATATATGTAACATAAAACCTACCATTTTAACCATTTTAAGTGTGCATTTCAGTGGCATTAAGTACATTGGCAATGTTGCATGCCCATCGTCACTATACTAAATTTTATTTTTATAGTACATTTTTTTAATTGACTTCAGAGAGGAAGAGTGAGGGAGAAATAGAAACATCAATGATGAGAGAGAATCAGTGATCAGCTGCTTCCTGTATGCTCCACACTGGAAATTGAACCTGCAACCCAGGCATGTGCTTTGACCGGGAATCGAACCATGAGCTCCTGGTTCATAGGTTGATGCTCAACCACTGAGCCACACTGGCCGGGCTATACTACAATTTTAATTTGAACATGACTTTGCCATCTCTTTTCCTCCCTTAGTATCACTCCTGCTTTGTAAATTCAACATAGGCCTTTACTGGATTCAGTATTTGTATTTTTGAAATGGAGGTATTGATAATCGTATGTACTGAGCTTAACTTTGGCAGGTGCTGTGCAAGGCACAGGTGTGGCATTAGTTCTAATTCTTTGTTAGTTTCTCTTTTCCTTACTAGACATATAAGGTCCATGTGCAGGGGCTATCTATGTCTGTCATATTGACAGTGATATCTGTACTGTCCAGCACAGTGCTTGGCACATGGTAGGCATTCAGTGAACTTTCTGAACAATGGAAGTCTTTCAGTGAAGAAATTTATTTGTTGAGTAAGTTCTTTCTGTATGCTTTATATGAAGTAGGCAAAACTTCTATTTACACATTAATACAGATTACAGGGCATGGCACATTCCAGTGTCTGGTTAATTAGTAGAAATAAAAAAGGGTTTATATTTGCAGTTTCATCTTGGAGGTTATTAGAGCAGATTGTGCACTAAACAAATGGTTGTGCAGAATTGGCAGCAGTAACCCTGACGCCTGAAGACTGTAGTTTAATTAGGATAACTTGACAGGAAGTGAGTTAATCAAATTTGAGAGTTGAAAGAATGTTCCAATAATTTATGTTCAAATCACTTCAAATATGTCAGCAGGTAACAGGAAAGTTAGTTGCAGAATGCTCCAAACACCAGTACACCAGTGGATTTTATGGTTTACAGTAATGTTTTGGAGAAAGCAAAGCAATGAAATGGCTTGGGGCTGTTTGGTTCTGTTACCCTATATTAAATATAATACACCAGAGTTTAAAATATTACCTTTGTTAAAGATAAAGTTTATTCATAAATTAATTTAGGAATTCTATTTTTCTTTTACAGTTACTTTTGTGAATTAATTTGGTTATACTTTTATTTCTTTAAAAAATATGCTTAAGCCCTGGCCAGGTGGCTCCGTTGGTCCTCTGTACCAAAGGGTTGCAGGTTCGATTCCAGGTCAGGGCACATACCTAGGTTGTGGATTCAATCCCCAGTTGAGGTATGTATGGGAGGCAACCAATTGATGTTTCTCTCTCACATCGATGTTTCTCTCTCTCTCTCTCTCTCCCTCTCCCCCCTTTCTCTAAAATCAATAAAAAATATGCTTGATATGGGCATTTCTCTGTTAACTGGTATTAGATAAGGAAAGCAGTATCATTTTTTCCCAAGTGGCTTATGGTTAAATGGAGGTAAAGAGGCAAAATACACATATAAGAATTAATTAATGAATAATGCATTCCTATAACAGTAATTACAATATGTCCTCTGATTCTGAAATGTAAGGTTCAGTGTGTATTTGTAAAAAACAAAAAAAACACCTATGGATGCCCTTAAAAAAAAAACTGCCTTCAGCAAAGTATTTTTAGTTCAAATGGAAAGAGAACAGAAAAGGCTATTAGGAGCTATAGCTCTATCATTTTCTTGCCCTTTTTACACTCCATAAGCTAAAACGAGTACTGAGGAGTTACTATGGTGTGTGTGTGTGTGTGTGTGTGTGTGTGTGTGTGTGTGTGTAGGAGAGCAGACAGACAGACAGTAGACATAGGTCTTTGAAATGGACGTCCTCAACTAAAGACTAGCAAGAAAAATGTAAATGAGTAAGGAGAGGGGAGTGGAGAGATGAGGGGAAGTGGCAGGAGAGGGAGGAGCAGAATCAGAAGAAACAAAGACCGAGGCTGCAATCTCAGTTGCGGATGTGTAAATGCCACTTCTTTGTCTCTCCTCCGTCTCCGTCACTGCAGCCTGCCCGCTCTTGATGCTGGTGTTCAGCCCACTTTAGTGAGAGGAGCTAGCTCTGTAAAGGCAGGATCTGTGGTCTTGGTGCCTGCTGGGCTGACAGGAGCAGGTTGCGTCTCCGCTGGGCTCGGGAGTAGCAACAGCACAGATTTCCTGAAAACAGTTCCTCCTGTCATCATATTTATTCCTGAGTTGTCATGTTTAGTTATTCAGATGTGTGCTGTCCCCAGCTCCTTACAAATCAAGCAAACAGCTTTTGTTTTTCTTCTTTCCTTCCTCCCCCACCCCTTATTTCCATCTTGTTTGTTATTCTGCTTTATTTTAGTCAAGCACACACATTTGAACATAATGGTTACCGTTTCCACTAGTAAGCGTAGGATTTCCTCCTTATCCTGTGGGCTCCTAATCCTATGGTACATAATGGTGAATTAAGACATTTAAAGATGTTGCATACATGTAACAACATTGGTACATATCAAGAACATAGTATTGAGTGAAAATATGAAGCTGTAGAATGTCTAATATGTGTAAATCAGTGTTACCACATTTCATAGACTCTAAAACACTATGGTATTAGATGCACCATTATTTTATGTACCCCAAGAAAAAGGGAAAACCTGCAGATAAAGTTGTGATGTAATGCTTTATTATGGATTGTAAGATGTATCTCAATTTTAGAGATATTATAATGTGAACAAAATATGATCTTAGAATTGAAAACATAAGGTAAATATCTTTTATTGGGACATACTTGTGTAATAAAAATATAAAAACATGCCTGGAAAGGATACATAGCCAATTCAGGATGTAGTTTATTTCTATGAAGAGAGGGAGGGGAATAGAGAATGGGGCCACACAAGGGGCTTCCACTCTTTGATTTACTTTTAAAAATTTAAAGCAAATATTGCAAAAGGTTAAGATTAGACAAAGCTGGTTGGTGATTTCCTATAATTTTCTGTATGCTGTAAATATTTCATAATGAAATGTATATATTTAAAAGCTACATAAAATACAAGTTGCAAAAGCCTATATGTAGTGGATCCTATTTGATTTTGTGTTTTTGGGGTTTCTTCGGGCGTTTTCTTATGTCTGTCATACCATAGCCGTGGGTTTTGTTGTTGTTGGAAGGTGGGAGGCTTTCTATGTCTCCATTTTTGTGTATGAATTAAAAGATGTATCATATATTAGTAATGATAAAAAGAGGGGAAAGTAGTTAATAATCAAGATGTTACAGAATGAATAGGATTGGTTGGCATTATTTCTTGCTGTTAATAGTAAGAAATAAGTAAGTAAATAGTAAGAAAATATTTTTTTATGTACCTTTGAAGTCATTTG